CACACACACACACACACACACACACACACACACACACACACACAAGCACCGGCCACACTGTCAGCCAGGCTGTTCAGTGCCCTCAGCAGTTTGGGCTTCGCCTGTCACTTTTCTCTCCCCTGCCCCTTCTGGGGGTTTGTAAAGAATAAATTGAAGAGGACTGATGCTATGGAAGCTTTTGGGATGAAGAGCACAAATGGCCTTGTAGTGCTTCGTGGCAATGTACAGATGGACTCCTCCATTCAATAAGCTTGAGCAGAAGTCTGTCTCCACGCCATGCCAGAATCACAGAGCTTGTTTTGTGTTTCTGAAGAGGACAATCTGTTGATGCAACATATTGGTGTTCTTTTCTTTCTTTCTTTCCTTTTTTTAAAGAATGAAAGCGTTGATAGACTCTGAAATACTGGGCCAGTCAGATTTGGATAATGTAAAACAAATAATCTCGTGGAAATCAAAATGAAATGTCGACAGTAATAAGAGCTGAGTGTAGCAGACCGCGTCCTTTCAACATGTGACAGGTGTGGTGTTCTTGTCCTCAGTGACGTGTTTTAACAGTTGTTGTGACTTCAGGTAAAATAGAAAGCAAGTTTAGGCATGAACTCATTAAAAATGTTTAGCAAGAGCCTTAGCAAAAAAGTTTACACACATATCCCAGGGTGTACAGGGAGCAGAGAGCGGGAACGAGTCAACAGGGACGTGGAGTAAAGAATCAGATTTTCTGGTGTTTTTGGTCAGAGGCTGAGCTGAGCACAAGTTTAGGCTATATGTTAACACACTCCCACACACACAGCAGCAGTGCCTGTTGCTATCAAACTTGGTACAATGGTGAATAAACCCGCCAAGTGGATCGTATGTACACTTAGTGCATAAAAGGTGCAGCGTCTTTGTTTATGCTAGCCTAACATTAGATTTAGATCAAATTAAAGTTGCTTGAAAAATAAGAAACGGTTCCTTCTAGAGATATTAACTCATTGTTGCCTTTAGCTACTTAAAAGACTTAAACCTGCTATCCAAGGTAAAAGTCTTTTGCTTATCCCACTGTCTCATCACATCTTCCTTCAGTTCCAGCTTACAGCCATACCACTGTGAGCCCTCCTGAACTCAATGTGATTGTTGTATCTCAGATTAACTGTAAATTCATACAAGCAGTTATTTTCTATGGTTAAGTACTTTCTATCTAACACTCACACACATTCATACTCCGATGGATGACCTGTTCGACCAGGTAGAGTAGGTCATCCACTGATTGGGAGGTTGGTGGTCAACTCCTGGCTGCTCCAGTCTGCATGCCAAAGTATCCTTGGGTAAGATACTGAACCCCAAGTTGCTCCAATGTGTTTGTCAGATTATGAAACGTGTGAATAGGTGCTTGTATGTACATTTGTGTGAATGGGTGAATGTGTCATTTTGTATAGAGCGCTTCAGTAAAGTAGAATATCGCTGTAAAAGGAAACAGGCTATGTATCATTCCTGTGTGTTTCCTCTTAGACCAACTTGATAGCATTACTTACATAATGGCGAAAGCTTATTATGGAGTTCTGTTTATTGATACCCAGAATGTGTTGTCAGCCTTAAGGTGTGGGTTGTGAAGAAAGATCCTTCTACTACAGAATCCAGAAAGTACTGAGATTGAACCTAAACCTTTAGTTAGAGGCCTGACAGCCAGACAAAATGCCGAAAGTCCATGCTGGTGGCTTTTTCAAACTCTCAAGATTTCATGTAAATGTTGAGACAAACTGAGAGTGGATAGTGTTTGACCGCAAACAGAAAAGCTACCTGAGTAATGTCTGTTGTCTGTGTCATGTAGCTGGATGGGAAATCTGCAGCAACTTCATGATGCTATCACGTGAATTTGGATCAAATCTCTGAGGAATCTTACTAGCACAAAGAATTAAGACAGTTCTGAAGTCAAGGGTCCAATCCAGTACTAGCAAGGTCTACCAAACAAAGTGACCAGAAGTGTAGAATTACAAAGCAAAGGCAGCTGTGGAGGGTTTTATTAATTTTACTGACTTTATATTCTCAGAGGCAGGGCCTAAACAGAAGGACCAAAAAATGCACAAACATGAACTGTGTTGTTCCATGTATTTTTGCCACTTTTGCTTCTAGTGAGATTTAGACATGAGTATGCAAAGCTCTGCGCAGCCCCCAAGGACTCCTTACCCACAGTTTAAGCTGAAATCATCAACTACTTTTGTCTTTTTCAGAATATGAGACATGAATGAGTTTTTCTTTTATATTTCAGAAGGTATATACTGTATGCTGAATTTAATGACTGACGTGTCAGTCTGATTAGTGAGTTAGCAATGTCGGCCAGCAAACTTTCCCAGTCTGCAGTTGAAGTTAAAGCAAGAATGTCTGGAAGATGACTGACTGAGAAATACCAAATAGAAAAACAAGACCCAGGAGACCCTTGAGCTGAAAAGGAAACAAAATGTCCTGCTACCTTCAGTGTCTACAAAAAAAACCTTTAAAGGAGAAATGTGACTGCACCTGCCACCGTAGATAGATAGATAGATAGATAGATAGATAGATAGATAGATAGATAGATAGATAGATAGATAGATAGATAGATAGATAGATAGATAGATA